ATTTTATTAGGCCTCAAAATTTAATTGCTCAGTCACAATCAGGTACTGGTAAAACAGCAGCTTTTGTATTAGCTATGTTGAGTAGAATGGATCCAGATGTACAATATCCTCAAGTAATAATTGATTATTTATAATATAATATCACATGCCTAGTTATTGTATTTGATATTATACATTGTTTTTACATATTTAGTTGCTATTGTCTATATTTGGGATCCGCTAGAGTAATATATTTACATTTTGTTGTGTGCTTTTGTTTGTTTAGGCAATTAAAGAAGCTGAGAAGTTTTAATTTTTGACTCATCGTCATCTCTTCTAAAGAATGAATTTCCTTTGTTTTTAAAAATTTTGCACTTAAAACTAAACTGCCTCAATAATAATAATAATAATAATAAAATAATTATATGTAAACAAATGGGAAAACTAGTGAAGTAATTTTCTAGAAGAGATAATGAGAGAAATGTAAATCCAAAAAAAAATTTAGTTTCTATGTTGTGTTAGAGAGTAGGATATAAACAGAAAATATACATTTCCAACCAACTTAATATTATTTATGATTTTCCAATTAAATTACACTTAGGTGTTATGTCTATCACCGACTTACGAATTGGCAATCCAAACTGGTGAAGTTGCAGCAAAAATGTCGACTTATTGCCCTAATATCAGGCTTAGATATGCTGTTCGGGGTGAAAACGGTAAATTATAGCTTCTTCATGATAGCGTAATTCTTAATACAACAATATTTTTTTAGTTGAAAAGGGTTCAAAATTAACAGAGCAAATTATTGTTGGCACACCTGGAAAAGTATTAGATTGGGTTACTAAGTATAGGTTTTTTGATCCAAAGAAAATAAAAGTATTTGTTTTGGATGAAGCCGATATTATGGTAGATACTCAAGGACATCAGGATCAAAGTTTCCGCATTAGAAAGTAATTGACAACAACCATCTTCAAATAATTGTGCGATTAATAATTGTTCTTTTTTTAAATATGTCATTTCAGATTATTGCCAGTAACATGTCAAATGATGTTCTTTTCAGCTACATATACTGATGATGTTATGAGATTTGCTAATGCTATTGCTCCAATGTCTGTCATTATAAGGTTGTAACGAGAAGAAGAAACTCTTGATAATATCAGGCAATATTATGTCATCTGTAATAGTAAGGAAGATAAATATAATGCATTAGTAAACATTTATGGAGGAGTAACCATAGGACAAGCCATGATCTTTTGTCAGGTAAGTCTATTATTAGTGATATTTTGTATATTAACATATCACTAATAAAAATATCCAGTACAATTTTTATTCTGTGCAATAGATGAAATTTACATTGAAGCATTTCATCACTTTTAGACTTAGCAATTGTATTCACTTTGCTTTGTTAGCGTATAACAGTAATGTTGATTAACAATACATTTTTGTGCAGACATTTTTTTTTAGTGATATGCTGTATATTTAATATTCATAAAATATATATTAGGTTGGACTAAAAAAAAAAAAATGTTCAGTTCTTCTCTTGACATTATATTCCTTTAGGTAAAAAAATATTTCCCTATTTTTTCAGATTTTTAAAATTATTTTTGAAGTTGCGAGCATCAGTTAACTACAAAAAATGTTGGTTCTTAGTTTCTAATTTTTTTATGGTATAAATATTAATTTTAAACAGATGTTGTTTGTATAACAAATCATCAGTAGAAAGAGGAATAAACTAGTTTTTAAATAAATATATATATATATTTTTTAAAAACTTATTGAACCTCAAAACCTTAATTTAGGCCTTAGAAAATAAAATTTAAGGAAACATTGATAAATTAAACCCATTAAAGTACCCTAAAATTTTTTTTTAACCCAAGTTAATAAGAAATTTGTGTTGTTCTTCTTTGTCAATGAGTTCAATTCAGGGAGATGGTTTTTAAATAATAAATAAAAAACACTGAATATTGTTCAGATTAAATATTTATTAAAATTTTAAATAAATATAACTTGTACAAATGTATATAATTAATAATGACTACTTGTCATTAGCTAACTAGTGTTCTAACCGAGTGATATAGTCCATCTGGCTGAGCTCCGTGTTCAACTCCTATTTATATGAGTATGTGTTAGTGGGTAATATTATGTGTGGAATAATATTAGTGGCCTCATGTGTAAGAATGGACACCACAACGTACGTGTGATTGCCTTTTTACATGTACTTTATTGGTTGTAACGAACGCGGACCATATCACACTTCCGACACCATATTGTGATTGCACTTTTGATTATAATGTTTATATTTAATAGTCAATATCTTTACTATATGTATATATAACAAGGGTTAATTTTACAATGTTTCCATACATTTTTTTTTTGTAAAAAAAAAAAATAGTTATTTTAAAACGAGTTTATTCCTTTTTTTCTACTGATGATTTGTTATATAAATCTGTTTAAAATTAATATTTATACCATAAAAAAATTAGAAACTCGCCGCCTCTAAAATAATTTAAAAAACTGAAAAAAATAGGAAAATTAATTTTTTACCCAAAGGAACATAATGTCAAGAGAAGAACAGAAAAAATAAAACCATTTTTTTTCGTAATTCACCCTAATATATTGACGTGTCTAACAAATAAGGACATAACTCGATTTTTATTTTTTATAATTTTTCATATTAGGTTAGCATTTCATTTTCTTTATCTTCCATAAAGACGATTTGTAACTCCTGTTTTCCAAAGAGGTTGTAAACATAGTGCAATATTAGAAATTAACTTAGAAAACTTTGAACGACTGTACTGAAAAATTGTAAAAATCGAGTTACGTCCTTCTTCGTTGGACACGTTGATATATACATATATAACCTACCTTCAGTCTAATGTTCTTACTCCTTAGTATTACAATTGCATTTTAAAACTAAAATAATTGACTTGTGCGGTAGGGGGCAAACATATTTTGGGTTTAAATTTCGTCTTAATTAGTCTTACAGTCTAAAGTTTAGCCTGAAAGTTCTTAAATTGTGGGCTTAAGACAAATTTTGTGTAGGGATGTGCTTAGTAAATGCTCCTTAAAAACATTAACTCGACCGTTTTTCAAAAAGGCAAATGTTAAAAATGAAAAAACTTGCAAAATCTTTATGGGGTTTTTTTTTTTGGTTATCACAGTGGAGTTGATATTTTTAACATTTGACCTACCAAACTGTCATTGCATACAATTTCTGATTGATGGAGATTATATTCGAGTAAATCTGTAAAAGTTATCATTTTTAGACAAAAAAAAATACTTTATTATAAAATGTATCGTCAATATGATTTAAAATTTGATATTTTGTGTGCAGACTAAAAAAATGGCTTTGTGGCTAGCAAAACAAATGACTAATCAAGGACATGCTGTAACATTATTATCTGAGGAACTGACTGTTGCAGAAAGAATAATTGTATTGGATCAGTTCCGTGAAGGCAAACAGAAAGTTCTAATCACTACCAATGTAATGGCTAGAGGTAAACATTTTATTAAATTATTTAAAATATAATTGCTTCTTTTTAAAATTACATTTTTATTCAGGTATTGATATTGAACAAGTGACAATTGTTATTAATTTCGACTTGCCTTTGACTGTTGGCCATGAACCTGATTATGACACATACTTGCATAGAATCGGCCGCACTGGTCGTTTTGGCAAGAGAGGCATTGCGATTAACTTATTAAATGGTGAAGAAGACTTGACCATAATGAAACGAATAGAAGACCACTTTTCAAAACCAGTTGTGTGCTTGAATACTGAAAATGTTGATGACATGGAGAAACTTGGAGCAGAAGAATAAATTTTTCTATTTGTTGTTATATTTGATTTTAACTGATTACAAAACCTTACGTAATATGGTTTTTTCTAATTGGATCTTGCGTTACATTTTGTAATTTGGTTGTGTCAATTTCTTAAATATTTTATTTTCATTATATTTCAGATAGAAATAACAAATCAGTGATTGATTTAATTTCCTATTAATTTGTTTAAGTTCAGTTGCTACATTATATAACTTATAATTACTTAAGTTTTATGTTATATGTTTGTACGTATTAAAACATTATAATATTCGTATTTTATTGTACTGTTGTACGACAAAAATAAGCCCATTATTTTATTGTATCTCCTTAGTATTGATAAGAGGTGGGTTTTTTCTTTGGTATCAATTATAAGGCTGCTGGCTGTTGTAGGTATTTTATATTAATATATATAATAATAGTAGTAAATCTAATAATATATATTATTCAAATTTTGTATAACATTCTTGATAATTTTTAGGATAAATAATAAACCATGAAGTAAATATGGGAATTAAGGTATGAACTAAATAAAGTGTTCTTTAACAGCCAACCCCTACACTATATTTAAAATAAATATTTATCCACTATCAAATATATTACTATTATTTATGTTTAACATATTACCACCTCATTGTATTCGATATACACCCCGAGTAAAAGTATCGATAATTCCTTGCAATATTACATCTCTAGGAAGAGGAAGTTAATATGCTGCCAGTACATTAATTAAAGAAAATATTGTTGTATTAAGAGGTATTTTTTTAATAATAAGCAGATAAGTATTTTTAGATAACCGTAGCTAGCTAAGTTACTGTAATAACTAAGTTTAAACTTGACTTTTAACTAATCCATCCTCGTTTCTCGACTCAATGAAGTGGGTTAGTTGTAAATAAATGTGTTTTTTTTTTTTTAATAAAATAACTAACATTTTTAAATTTTGATACATTTGTATACTTTATGATTTTAACCAAACATAAAATTATAATTAACTCACTACACCCTATACACTAACTTTTATATCAAAAGATTAATAAAGTAGGTAAAAAATGTTTTTTTATTGGTTTTCAAAATAATTTATAGAAATAATTCTACATTAGTATAGTGAAAAAAATAGATAGTGTTTGAATTCACAATGCAAAAAAATGATAAATACATAGTAATTACAAATACAATATTACTTGACTAGATGCCTAAAAATAAAAATAAACAGGAAACTGCTCAAAAACTTCACAATAATTAGGTACATGTCTATGAAATAAATAAATTTACTTAAAATAATACTAATACATCTAATTTTTACAAAAACTTAACTTAAAAATATATAACAAACCAAATAATGTTTTATTATTAATTAAAAAATACATATATTATTTTGAGACTATATTAATTTATTACTATTTTTTTTCTGTTTTTGTTATAGTTAAATCTTTCCCAAGTTGTTGAATAGCTTGTTGAAAATTAAATTGTTCCGATGCACTTGATAGATTTCGAGCCAAAGGAATAATATTTTTACTGTGACTTTCTTTTCGAACTTTATGTTCATTTTTGTTGGAAATGGGTGTAATACTTAAACCTGGACATGAAGATAATAACAATGCCGGATTCATTGGAACAACAGGTGGTTTTTTGATTTTTGGAGTTGTATTATGGAATACAGTGGATTTTAGTCGAGCCTGTTCTGCTGCTGAGTCTAAATTGATATAAACTGCATTTCGTTTTGATGTACTAGGTGGTTCTTTTACCTTACTAACAACCATGCCCGAAGTTTGATTAAATTCCAGAAGTCTACATTTTTCAATATTTAATTTATTAGATTTTGATTTTTCTAAAGATTGTTCATTGAGTGTTTTATTGGGTTTAGGATTAATAATTCTATTTATTTCTACTTCTGGAGTACATTTATAATGATGAATGGGTTTTATTAGCTCACTAGATTTACCAGATGAATGATGTTTAGATTTGGGTTGACAATTAATTTCTACTTCGATAGATTTCGATTTTTGCAAACATTTAATTTCATCATTTATAGAATTAGAATTTACTTTTAATTTATTATGTTGCAAATGGCTAATATCAGAATGTTCTAATGATAAGTTCATAGGGGATCGATTGGTGACGTCCAGAGTTTTTTTTTTAGAAATGCGTTTAATTTTTGGTTTACTTTCTTGTAGTTTATGTTGCAATGCATTCTTATAATTTTCGAGTAAATTTGGTGTAATAAATTGAATGTGGTCTTTATGTGTAGATATTAAAGAGTTAAGTTGATTTGTTAAATCGCTGGTAGTATCTGAAGGCATATCTGAATAGAATTGTCTCTTTTGAGTTATAGAAGGTAGTGGAGTTAAAGTTATTGGAGGGTAATCAAATTTGTAGGCATGTTTCTCTTGAACAGTTGAAGTCAAAGGTATCTGAAAAAAGTAATATGTTTTAGATATATTTAGAAAGTAAATAATTATTAATTTTATATACTATGTTTTCATTATTTGTCACAATCTTTCCAGTTTCTTTTTGTTTTTCAAGTTTAAGTGAATATTTTATTATTACATCAATAGGAACTTCATCCTGAAAATAATAATAATCAATGTAGAGGTTTAATAATAATAATAATTGATATTATTTATTTTTTAAATTTATTACAACAGTTGGGGTATAAGAGTATAGTATAATACATATTATTAATTTTTGTTAAAATGCTAATTTATCTAAAACAAAAATTGAGTTAGGTAATAATTAGCCTACCCAAGATTTCTTATATACTCAAGCACATATGTCCTATGAATTTTTTAGCAAGTAGTATAATTTTTGTAATAATTATGTATAGATTATCTATGTTAACAATGTTACCTTAATTTCAAAAATATTTTGGTAAACATTCAGTAATAATTTGGAAAGTGTGTTATCCTTTTGTGACCAATGCTTTATTACTTGCTTGTATATTCTATAAACTTCGACTAAAAGTTGTTCATTTTTAGTTCGACTATTAGTTTTAGAATTTTCTGATTTTAGTTTTCGTAGTATTTGAATACTAAGGTTTAAAGCCTCTTTGGAAATTCCTTCCCGTTCATCATCACGCAAGTATTTCCTGAAATAAAAATAATGACAGTAGTTATATGATATTAATTAATAATAATTAGTATAAATAATATTAGTATTTGAGAGAAACAGCTGTAAATGTTTAAAGCTATAGTTATTTTATTATACTTGTTAGGATCAGGTTTATTTTTCAATTGCAAAGCCAATTCAAATAATGCCTTGTAATCTCCAGTTTCTTTGAGAAAGTCCAGCAACAAATGAATTGAGCGGCTCATATGGTATGCAAATGAACCAGGCCTGTCTATTTCACCAACAGGTATTCGCCAAATTCCCTATATATAATGAGATTAACTGTTAAATAAATTACATATTTATAAAACTAAATATGTAATAACAAATTTACCTGGAAAAAGTTACGATTTGTTTGATTGGCAAATAGTCCATTTTTACCCAATAACAATTCTCTACATTTTGTAAAATCCTTATGAGTAGGAGATCGGAAGTAAAAATGAGCTAGTCGATAATACGATTTGTAATGCTGAGGAAACCGTTTTAAGCAGTTGTCTAGAGCCGCCAAACACCATTGAATTAATTTCCAATAAACTGTGAAAAAACAAAGTATTTAAATATTTGCTTAAATAGTGTCTGTAGAAAAGAAAATGTTTAAAATATAACATGTTATCATTTATAACATATTATACAAGAAGAAAAGTTGTTCTAAATACAATACATATTATATGTAATATAATATTAAGTAATAAATTGTCATATTGTCATGTCATATTTATAAATGACATAGTAAATTTTATAATAGTAGTCAAAAGTTATAATAGAACATAGGTAACGTCATTTAGTATTTTTAGGTATATATTAATTTATAATAGAACTATGTTTTACATAAAAAATAAGGAGTTTTCTGTTACACTAGTCAACAACGTTGATAATAAAGCTATAATAGTATATAAAAATTTCAAAAAATATAACATAGTATAAGCAAAATAAAAAAATAACCGGTTATCATATAAAGATAATAAAAATTAATAGTATTTAACCATAAAAGTAATATTGAATAATAATTAATTTACACTAGATAGAGTAGTTATGCTGATCATTAATATGTTCTCTAAAGAAATAGAATACAAATATTGATGCCAAATTCCTGAGCCCAAACCCAAGTTCATGGACACTAGTGTCTTTTTATTTTAGAAAATTACTTACGCTGTGATAAATCTTGATCGTTTGAGGAGTTATTCAATTTGATTTTCTTTAAGGGTACATGGGAATCATCCTTAAAAATAAATAAGTTTTTGTTATGTTATTTTAAGTGTCGACTAAATCTTTCTAATATCCTTTTTTTTAATCATACTCACAAGTACTAGTTTTTTATTAGTTTGGGCTGACCTTTTGGTTTCGACCACATCATTAAGATCACAACCTAATACCATTTCTTCGTATTCACTTTCTTTACAATTTACAGTATCTGGGTTTGTTTTACTATAAATATAACTTATTATTAGTATTGATATAAAATAAATAAATAAAATATTATATACACAGTGGTTGAATTGGGGGGGGGGGGAACTACTCTTGTTTATTATTTTTTGTGTAGCGTATAATTATATATATATATGTATAACTCCTTGTTAGCACTTCTAAAAATAAAATAAACACCATAGGCATTGACTATACAAAATTAGAGCCACATTATGCATTTTTGGACTTGATGCTAGATTAAATATACATATGGGGAGTGTTTTAAATAGGTTACAATTAAAATAAGGAATGTAAAATGTGAAATTAAATCAATGTGAAATATGAATACTATAAAAAAAGTTTAAAAAAAAATTGTTGTTAACTTACTCATCTTTGTTTAATATTGGTGAACTATTTGATAATTGGACAAAGAAATTCTCAATTTTAACCAATAACTCATTACTGATAGAATTATTATCATATTTTTCTAATAATTTCAGTGCTGCTGCATGGATTCTATAATAAACCTATTTTTAAAAATATTAGTCAACATATTCAAAAGTCCAAACTGAAGATAAATTAGTTGGTATTATGTAGTGTACATTTAATGATACATCATTAATTTTTGTTAACTGATATTTTATTTTTTATTGTATATGACTACATAAATACTACATTTGAATATATTTTACATTCCCATTGTAATAATATGGATGAACAATTTTAAAATTACTTAAAAAAAAAAAATGATTTTTGATCTTTTTATTAAATTTAAGTAATAATTTAAACAAGTCAATGGTGATAAAATTATAAAAAAAATATATTTTTTTCGGGTTAATTTACTAATTTATCATTAGGGTATAACATTATATCTAAAACTTAATTGTTTTGTATTATAATCAAATTTTTGCTAATGTTTACTCTAAAATAAATATATGTGATGATCTTTATATTATAATTCATTTAAAGCATTCATTACCTCTAGGAGTTCCATAGAATAATATTGTGGAGTACTAAATTGTATAAGCTCTGGGTATTTAGCCCCATAAGAGTCTAAGTATCCAATTGCTTTTAAATAATGATCCATAAATAAGGTAGGATCTTCCTCATTTTTTTCAGCTATTTTACCAAGTATATAATGATGTATCCATCTTTCATCTATATCATCACACTCTGTATATTCCCACACCTTCATAATAAAATAAAAAACATTATATTTCACTTAAAATCATAAATCGTAATGTTATGTTTAAGAATTTACATTGTTTGCAGACTCAAAACATTTTTGTGCAACTATGATCATTTTTTCTTTTTCTTTTTCAAGTTCTCCGAACATTTGTAAACTCATATTGGATGTTTCCTAAATAAAAAGTATTGAATATTTAAACATTTATTATTGCTGTATTAATACATTATACATGCAAAACATATAATTTTGATCATAAAACCACATTCAAAAGAGTTTCTATTCAATTCTGTGAATGTAATCCAAATTGTGATAAGAAATTATTAGATTAGGTTCGTAGCAAGGGGAATTTATATTAGCCTGTACTGGCCAAAAGATTACTACCCCATACAAAAGTTTATTTATCAGGTGCAATAAAATTGTGATACATTTTTATTTGAATCAATTACAAATATTAATAAGAATTTCATTCCAAATTATAAAAAAAATGTATTTGCACTTCCTGAGATAGGTTAGGTTAGGTATTTATAAGCCTGACCTTAGATGCCTCTAATATATTAATAATTAAATTACTAAAATAATATTTTAATAATGTTTAGTTTTGATTTTATAAAACTAATTAATGCCTCTAATATATTAATAATTGAATTACTAAAATAACTTTTTAATAATGTTTAGTTTTGATTTTATAAAACTAATTAATAAGTACTAAAATTACATGCCTGTTTTAATAACCTTGAGCAGTATGACTGTATGCTGTAAGTGAATGTGCCATATTCAATCAATATTTTAGTGTTTTCCGGACTCAATTTTAGCGATTGCTTAAAACAACGTCCAGCCATATGAGCTTCTCTAATTATTTTACCTTCACTTTTTATTGAATTGCACTTAACATAAAGATTATTTGATTAGTTTTTATTTGGCATTTATACAGTATTAATCAGAATTTGTAAAAAATCTTTCGGCATTAGAAAGATAATATACTTTTACTTACAGAGTTTAGTAAAGTTTCAATTAGACTTCCACGTGCTAAGGCCATAGCTGCCCATGAATCAAAACGACCAACATTATTACAAAGATCTAGCAGATAATATTGGATTGCTTCTTTCTAAAATATTCATTGAAAAGTCTTGTTGTTAATAAATAAATCATTATAATAAATCTGACAAAGCTTTCTTAAACATACCAAATTTTTGTTTTTAAAGTTGTAATCGGCCATTAAATAGAATATATCTTTTACATCATTAGGCAATAAATTATCATTTAACGGGAGTTTATCCGAAACACCTCTTATAAATTTTGTCAAATTATCCATCAATCGCTCTGTGACAAATATAATTAATATTAATAGTTAAAACAAGTTCTTCAGAGATAACACCTACTTAGAGGTAGATGTAGATGGGGAAGAAAAAGTGGGTGAATGTGATAAATAAGATATGGAGGTGTATAAAATGAATATAGAAATTGTGACAAATATGGAGATGAGAAGTGAGTGGACCTCATTTGTAAGGGATAAGGTACAGAAATAGAAAAAATTTAATGGTAAATGAATTTTACAAAGCATGTTTTAGATATTGATAAATTTACCTGGATTGATTTCACTAGGTATTAAATTTATGACTTGTTTTAATATTGCTTCAGAATTGTTCACTGGGAAAGATTTAGCTTTGTCATCGTAACTCGGCAACTCAACTGGTCTATGAAACTGAACTAACTGCCTAGCTCGCGGCCAAGTTAATGCCAGGCCCATAGAACCGTGATCCTATAAATGTATTTCATTATTGTCGCTTTAAATTAATTAAATTTAATCAATTTTATTATTTAATATCACAATTAATTAATTCATTCATTACCACTAAATTACCACGAGGTTTGTTATTACGTTTATTTATTGTATGTGTATACAAACAATAAAATATTTGTTCGACGTGTTGACACAGTACTTCATTGTAAATATCTGAATAGATATAAGGTTGTATTTCGTTTAATGTTAAATACAAAAGACCACCATCTTCAAAGCAACACCAAGATCTCCTAAAAAACAAATTATAGTAAAAGAACTAATTAGTTACTAATGTTAAATTTAAAAAATATAAAAAAAACAACAATAGTATCAGCCTATGCTTATTTTCATACCACTCTAACTACTCCGATTTCTTCTCTTCATAATGGGCCCAAAAAATCTCAGTATATTTTTTTTCATTTTGACTGCTATCAAAATCACGCTTATGCTACTTCTTATGTATTTATTCTTTATACCATCTTTTCTTACCACTCCACTCAACCACCTAAGCATTATCATATCCGCTATACTCAGTCTCTGTTATATTTTCCTGTCTACATATCATATTATTGATTAATAAAATAAATAAATAAATCGCCGATATTTATAACAACCAGTTAATTTAATTACTATGATTAAGTACTTAATTTGACTTACTTCCCCAAGTACTCATGTCCAAGGATTAAAAGTGATAATGAGTGAGGTATGCCAGAAATTGGCAAACAAATTGAATTTTCCGTGTTTGATTCTTCACTGTAAAACAGGGTTTTAATAGATAAGTAAATGTAAATTGTCAATTTTTTTTACATTTTTTCCTTTTCCCCTTCGTAAAAGCACGGGCCATACTTTCAAATTTTTTTTAATATTCAAATTTTGTTTTTGTTGTATAGGGCCCACGCTTTTCTTTTTAGTTAAAAATTAAGAATATGGTAATTTTTTTTTTTATTACTTGGAACTGTTATTACTGCCAAATTTAATATAGGTATTACAGTTTAAGTAACTATGAAACATTTTAAAAAATGTCTTACATTTTTAAAAACTGTATACTTACTATTTTAATAAGTGATAAACTAATAGCCATGGTGGAATCACTTCAATGCTTGGATTGCCTTCTACTGTTTCAATAAGGTATGATAACAAATTTATAACAGACTGCAAAAGTCTAGATTTATATCCTTGAGTCAATTCATCAACTAAAAAAACACAAACAAACATAATATAATTTTTATACGATTCAGTATAAGTATATGAACTTTGTAAGTAAAATCAGACGCGTTGAGCCTTTTTATTTTTTTTAATATTAAAATGACATGTGTAGCTTGTTGGGTTTCAGTGTCATTTCTACAGGTTAGAATTATTTCAGTACATTAATTATTGTAAATTAGTATAGTTACAAAAGTGTTTATAGTTTGATTTAATTGCATATACTCTATACTACAAATTCAGGCTCATTACTACACAAAAAAATAAAGGCAACTTAGTAACTAGGTAAATTGACAGTGAATAGTGATCTAATTTTATAATTGATAAGAACTTCAACTATAATATAAATTTTCTATAAACAAATTTGAGGTATCTCTCGCCAAATCATATCCCATTTGATGTTTACACCTGCTTTTTCCAATAATTTTTTTTTAACATGCTTATAATTGTCTTTCTTGTCAGATTATACTAGGGATGGGGTTTTCAAAATCTAGATTTATAAAAATACAATAATGCTACTATTTCTAACTCTTTTTAATTAACAAATGAATAGAAAATATATGAATAGTATAAAACAAATTTCTTTAAAAAAAATTCTAAATGAGAAAATAGATAAAATTAAAAACATTCAAATTATTTCTAGTTTTCGAATTTAATAGATTATTTTATTCAGTTTTGACTTTTTATAATTTTTTTATAAAGTATTTTTAATTCAGTTAATAAAATATTAATTAGTTCTTCATATGGAAAGAAAACAGTTTTTGTGAATATACAATCCTCAGTATACCTTAGAGTCCACCTTAACACCCCCAATTTATCTCTAGGCTTTCTACCGCCACCCTAAAGACCTCCAACGCCAACAAAGGGGCGTTATCGCCCACTTTGAGAAACTGTGTCTTAGACCGCAGTCGAAGTTTACACATGGTATAATATAGGTAAAATATGACAAAAATAATTTTTAAAACTAACTTTTAAACCAGGCTTTGCCCAGGGTTAATTGTTTTAAAATGTTCAACTAAAGCTGTTCAAAACTAATTAAGTATTTATTTCCCATTAATAAGATCACATTAAAACCAAAAATCTGCATTGGGAATTTACGTAGTGGCTACACTATATACATACAATATAATGGTATACAGTTTGTTTATACGTCAACAAAATCATACATAATAAACATGAAAATATTGCTCTTTCACTTTCAATTGAAATAGAAAAACCTCTTGGGGAGAAAATGAGTGAAAATTCTGTGTTGAAAAAATGCATCATGTAATTTTTAGGTTAATTTATTATGAGCTTTAAGGTATAAGTTATTAGATTTTTGGCTTTGTAGTTAAAAAAAATATTCTAGTTAGCTGAAGTGACACATAAACATACCTCAATTTAATTTATCAAAAATAATTAAGACAGGAATATTTTTTTATTGATAATAATAATGATTTAAATTGTCAGTATTTACTTACAAACACATAGGCCAACGGTTCTAATTGATTCCAACATAGCATAGAATATATTGTTAATGAACTCGGATTGACAATTTTTTTGGGTTGTATCACATTCTTCTATTAAACTTTTACGATGGTGTAGTATAGCTTCATATAAACAGGGCTCACACCATTTAAATAACTCCTAAATAAATAACAATTTTAGTTAGAAAGTTTCAAGTATAAAATAAATACACAACACATTTTTTTAAACTTACATGATAATTTTTTTGTTCTAAAAGAGACTTTAACAAATAAATATACTGATTTAGCCGTGTCATTGATTTATAGGTGGGTATTTCTATTGTAGAACGACTTTGTGACTTAAGTGTTTCTTGTAAAACATCAATAATAGTCTGATATTCTTGTACTTCATACAGATCTTTTACAGTGCTTAAAAGATTATTTCTAAAACAGAATAAAAAATCAAAATTTGTACGATATATTTAAAAAAACAAACATGTAGAATTTTAGTTTACAAACCGTTTTAAGGTAGTTATTAGTTTTTCAACTATTTTTTTATTTATCTTATAAAAATATTCTAAATTGGGTAAAACAATTTCAAATTCTTCATGATTGTCAAAGTTGTTCAATAGCTAAACAAAAAATACATATAATTGATTACTAGTTAATAGTTTTAATACTAATTGTGTGCAGCTTAAGAGGCATAAGATTTGACAACATTATAGTGGAAAACATTAAATTTTGTAGAACAGTAGCAAAGCATTATTTATAATATAAATGATAATTTGCTACGGTTGATATACATTTTATATCAACATGGTATATCAAATTTAATATGCAAAAAACAGATTACAAAAATATTCAAAATTTTTTGTGTATGGATGCATATTATTGTTAATTTGATAATCAAATTTCAACACAGTTATATTATTTCAACTCTTGTAGTATATTCTGTTTATTTAACAAAAGAGAAGCATATTTTTACTAATCACGATGACTTGCATATTTTATGCACGCGCAAAATATCAAGTTTTATACTTCAAAATGTATAATACATATTGTACTGTATGATAACAATAAAAAAAAATTAAATATACTAGTTTTTGGTTTCTTTTTAATACACTTTTAAGGCATAATAAACACACTACTATTTAATACAGTCATTAAACTATTATTCTAAATTAGAAACAGAAGGCTATATATTGTTATTACCATATCAAGGACATTACAAGTAAGTTCAGTTTCTTTATCCTGTAAATAAAATAAAGCTCGTAGCCAAAGAAACCGATTAATTAGATTATTATTATCTCCTTTAATGTCTAATACGTTTAAAATATCATCAATATCACCAATCCACAAAGAACAAAAATCTCCTCCAAAAATGCTACAAAAAAAAAAAAAAAATGTTTGATTAATTTTTTACAAAAAATTTATAAAATAACAATTTGAAAATAAATATGGTACCTTCCTTCCAATGGTTTGCGGTCAAGTCTTAGCTGAAAATATTGGTCACAAAGTAGTTCTCCATATGTAAGAACGGACAATACATCATTTATTATTTCAGTTTGATTTAAATCATTTAATAAATGGAGTTCCGTTTTATTTATGTTTGTTATATTTTGCTTTCCTGTATGAATCCTAAATAAAAAAATATGCATCAGAATACAAATAATAATAGTAATAATTATTTAAACTAACCACACTCTTTTAAAAATATCAATATATATATTTATAAGTTCCAAAGGCCAGGCATAATTCCACTTCCTGGTAATTACAATCAAATAGTTTTGTAAAAAATCAGAAATTGATTTGTTTTCATTAACTGTCAAGAATGTTTTTATTTCTTTTGTTTCCAATTCAGTACCGAAAAATCCTTCATTTTTTATTTGTCTGTAAAGAAAAATAATCATTTATGTTCATTTTAAAATAAATGTATTATTTAAGAACACAAACTTAAGACGCTCTTCATCAGATAAATTGCTTTTTAGTAGATTTTCAGTTTGTCCATCACTTAATGCATCTGAAAACTCATATAATCTGTATAAATCCATTGTATCCATAGAGTCATCAGACCATTTTATTGAATTTATATTAATTTTATCACTGCCATCTTTATTAAACCTAAAAATAAAAATTTGACAAATTTTAATAGTTTTCAATTAACAAATTAAGTTATTAATAAATATGTTCCGAGTCTGTTCTTGGTTCGCAACTCTCTTTTCTCATCCAATGCTCTCATTTTAAAGAATTGTTATTTATTGTTCAGTTTATTTACAGACGACTTCGAATTTTTTATTGGTTAGTCAAGAAATCAAAGGGAAGGTTTTTGCAGATTATCTTGTTATAAGTTGTGACTGTTTGTATCTTTTCACTGTTGCAATTCTTTAACTGACTTTCTATCACTTATTATACACTCAATCTCCCGCAAATGGAACAAACCATTGGTCCCATTAACCAGCTTCCTCCTAAACCTATTTATTAACCCTAATAACTCTTATTCAATTTCATTTTATTGCTATATCAAATAAATCTTAAGTTCCATATTCTCGGCTTTACTTGGATCACAGCCTCATTCCTCTTCACACTTATTATTTTTCCTTAGACGATTCTTCTTTTTGCTACCATCACTCACGTCCTATTAAATATGACGTCTCACATATTTGGTCTCAATATATATCACTTGCTACACAACGATTATCCCTCAAAAATTTCTTATAGATTTGTTAAGCTAGCCCAACACTGCTGGCAAAAATATTTGCAAACATGTTTGCGGGAATGCATCATCCTTTGTTGATACATCAAAACATCAAAGAAATGTTTAATGGGAATGTACATATTAGCACACACAAAAACCCATATAATTAATAAATGTCTGCTTAAGTTTTGCATGCCTCATGGACTCAGCTCAACATATCATTTTTTTTCCGTCAATATCTTCAAACTTGTAAAATTGCTATTTTCTATTTTATCGTCTTTTTTTTTATAATATGTTATGTTTATCAAATTTAATGTATTGATTAATTAATTAATTAACTTAATTGTTGTTAATATTAAAAAAATCATAAAAAATGTAGCCTTTTAGAATTTTTACTTTTTAACTAAATTGTTAACATAATTAATTACTTATTAATTCTTACATCAAATGAGATGGCATTATGTTCCAAATAGCCTTTGCTAACGAAGACTCATTGGCTTTAGTATTTGCTTTGTTTCGAGCTGATCTCCGGCTTAGTTTTAATTGATCCAAGGATGGCGAACTTTTTCTGCGTTTTGATGAAACAACTAAATATAGTTAAAAATAAAAATTAAATTGTTATAAATATATACATTATATTCGTTTAAAAAAATTAATAATAACCATGATGTTTGAATGAAGGGTTTTGAAAATCTTTCTCATTTAAAACATTATCCACTTTCAGGCATTTAGTTAAATCCATTTGGTCTGAAGATTCATCATAGAACTTTATGGGTTCATAAAGTAACTAAAATAAAATTAATAAAAATATATATTTATGAATAAAACATTTTTTTTATAAATTAAATTAAATTATTACCGAGTGATTGTGATGTTCAAATATGTTATCATAAATATTTAATAACCATTTACCAAAATTAAGTAAATTTGGAAAATTCAAAGTTTTTGCACACAATATTGGATTAATTGTATTATTATATGAATGTTTTTCTACTTTTAAACTAGGATCATTTGTTTTTATATCAGATATTTCACCTAATATTCGTTGTTGTATGTTTTCATCAATTTCATCTGTACACTCCACATCTAAACCACTAGAAAAGTATAAATTAAGTAGAATTTTGAATTTGTCATTATTTTTAAAGGTATAATATATTGCAATCTTACCCATTTGGACAATAACTTTTGAAATAAGATATTAAACTAGGAAATTTTTTGTATATGAGTTCTTTAATAAAATGACCTTTTAGATACCCAGGATCTAAACATAGTGATATACTTATATAATATAAGCAACACACAAATTCACTACTCGCAAACAATAAGGTAATCAATTTATCCAATGTAGGCCAATGGTTAGGATTACATTTTAGGCCCTAAAAATTAATATAAAACACATTATAATATTAATTAACAAATTAATATTTGTTTGGTTATTGACATATATAAGTATAAGGATCATATATTAGTTTAGTAAAGTATACGTATAAAGGTTCAAATAAAAGTGTCAAAAGTATGTGTGGAGTAATAATGGACTTTTAGTGTTAGAGTAAGTGTGCTTCACGGTTCTGCTTTGAACCCTTACCCGTTTTCTTTTGTAATGGATGAAATTAAGAAATAAATACAGGATGAGGTACTATGGTGCATGATGTTTGAAGATGATATACTTTTGGTAAGAGAAACTCGGGATGAAGTAAACAGTTGTCTAGAGAAGTGAAGAATAACACTTAAAGGAAAGGAATTAAGGATTAGTAGAAGTAAAACAGAATACATTGAGTATGCGTTTGGAAGAATAGGACAATAGACTAAGACAAAGCAAGAAATGACAATACGTGGTGACAAATTAGCCAGTAAGGGAGGTTGAGAGTTTTTAATTACTTAGGATCATTTGTATAAAGGAACAACACTTTTGATAAGTATGTGAAACATAGGATTAAGTGATGGTGGCTCAAATGGAGAGAATGATCAGGTATTTTACAAAGTTAAGTTCTGCAGGTGAGGTGAGACTGACTATGTTGTATGGTTCGATGTGTTAAGCTGCAAACAGGAAAATAGAATAGAGAATAAGTGTAGCAAAGATGCGAATGCTTAGGTAGATAAGTGGAGTGACGAGAGGAGATAAGATAATAAATAATATGCAAAACTAGATACTAAAATCCAATAATATAATTATTAAAATAAAATTTGTGAAATACCTCTAAAAAAGCAGATATAGCTTGGTCAGTGTTATATATTTTACTATGAGCAAGCCCTATCCGATACCAAAGATTCAAATCTGTACTGTCCATTTTCAAAGCCTTAAAAAGAAATAAGAACAACATATATACATATATATATATATATATATATATATAATATCTAGATACACTTTTTACTTATTTAAATTATAATACTAACCTCTTGATAATGAGTTAAGGCTATTTGAAATTTACTTTTTTTTACCATTATATTTCCTAAATTGGTGAGGCAGCAATATTTTAAATGAGCCAAAACCGATTTTGATGAATCTTTCTGATTCAATGTGGTGTTTAACTAAATCAGAATATAATTTACGTCAACTTATACACGTGAGTTTTATAGTTTTAGCTATTAAGACACTTACACAGCTGATAATTTCACTTTCTAGCAATTTATACAATTCAATTTCAGCATCATCTATTTGTTCCCTAGCTAAGTATTGTAAGGCTTGACTATACTGGAGTTGTGCTTTGGTTTCCTAAAATTTGTATTTAAAAAAACATAATTATTATTAAGATACAAAATGAGTAGTAATGTTAATGAATCAGTTATGATATTTAAACCTAACTTAAAAATTATCCAATAATATTAGTCTTTATTAAAATCATAATTATAAACAAAATGTTATTATTTTTAGCAAAACAAAAGGTTTAGTTAAATATATCAGTAGTCATAGTTTGGGTAGAGGGTAAGTCATTCATAAAAAGAACCTAACACGTTGACAACTCTCCATGATATTTTTACAAACTAGTATTAATTTTAAGAAAAACTATAGGTTATTTCAAAAACTTAAATAAATATACAATGTTTAGTTATTTAATATGTTAATTTTATTACTTGATTGATACCAAAAAGTAGCATTTTTATAATTAAATATAAAAACATTGATACTTCCATGTAAGTTCTGTAATTTTGTTGTTTTAACAGTTTTTTTATAAGACATTGTGGATTACAAGGACTTCATCGATATATAAATAAGTAAATGTAAATATAATAGACTATTGTGATCAAAAAGTATAAATGTTTGTAAAATATTTTATATAAGTACATAAACTATCATTTAAATTAGCATACTCATATTTTTTTATTACAGTAAAACATTTATAACATTATCATGTACTTATTTATTAACTAAACTCACCAACGCTTCTTTTGTGATTTTAACAGGTGCTTCTTCGTCATTGCTACTCTCATCCGAAGAGGAAGCATTTAACGCTTTAAGTTTTGAAGGAAGCATAGTAGACGTTATTAGATATAAAAAATAATTACCATTGTTTAATAATTAAAGCTAAATATTATGTTCAAAAAACGATAAGCGATTCTTTAAAAATGTATTTAAAACTCATTTGAAGAATTGATATTTATATTATACATTTTAAAAATGAAAAGAAAGTCTCAACACTAGGATAATATCTGTTTTGTTATTTCTGTGATCAAAACATTATCTGTCAACAACACTTATTATCTGTGATAGTTTGATAAGATAGAATTATCACCTTCTGACATTTTTTAAAACTTTAAATCTGAGATTCCGAGGTTAATATTAAAAAAAAGTAATAACCATTTGAGTTAAGGTCTCTAATTTGTGAAATATTATTATTGGTAAATTATAAACTACCATTTAAGTAGTATTTTATTATAATTAACCGTTAATTATTATCTTTCAGTTTGGTAAATATTGAACCGTGGTTACGCAAATACAATATACCTATTGTCACGTGTGTCCGGTTCTGTGTGTAAATTCTTTGCTTCATAACCTATATATTGAAAAATGAAATATGTAACTTAAATTTAATAACCGGTACTTACTACTTACCTATTAGTATTTAGTTAGTTTATTGACATTTTTGTTTGGCAAATGTGTAAATTGTTATTTGTACTTGTATAGTACATGACAAAATCTATTTTGTGATGGAATAATATAGTAACATAATATAGTATATATTATATTAAAGTATATTAAAAAAATTTGTTTTTATATTCAATTTCTGTTTAAAATAACAATTCAGAAACGTCATGAATGATGACAATTGTAAGTAAAAAGAAAACAGTATTTCATTAGTTTATTTTCGTTTGAAATAATTTTTTTTGTGCAGTATTACCAGGCTCTAGCCTTGAATTAAAAATCATGGCTGCTGAACGTAATTTCACTAGTTTGGAAGGCCATGTATGTGAGAACACCCTTAAAGGTATTGCAGACATGGGGTTTACAACCATGACGGAGATTCAATCAAAGACCATACCTCCATTATTAGAAGGTAGAGATTTAGTGGGAGCAGCTAAAACTGGTAGTGGGAAAACCTTAGCGTTTTTAGTACCTGCCGTAGACCTTATATATAAATTAAAGTTTATGCCAAGAAATGGTACTGGTGTTATTATCATTTCCCCGACAAGAGAACTTTCAATGCAAACATATGGTGTTCTTAAAGAACTAATGAAACATCATCATCATACTTACGGTTTATTGATGGGTGGTGCTAACAGACAAACAGAAGCTACAAAGTTATCCAAAGGTATTTCATGACTTAAAATCTCTGATTGTATTCTAATTTGTTAATATTTGTAGTAGGTATATATAAGTCTGTATAATTAATTGCATTCACTAATATATAACGGTGGGTATAAATGCACTTTACTGGACACCCTTCTTTTTCAATTTTTTTTCCCGCCATAATATAGTGTTTATTACACGGATTGCGAATCTGAGTTATAGCTAAAGAGTCCGCCTAATTCTGACTTTAGATTCGCAATCGGTGTAAAAAACACTATAATACAGGAGAATAGTGGGGAAAAAATCGAAAAAGAAGGGTGTCCGGTAAAGTGCATTTGTTCCTAACAGTGTCTTTATACTATGGGGGTTATGAAGCAAATTAAAAGAGAGTAGCTGACATTTTTTATTTATTCTGCCACCTGTCCTCAGTTAAATTTTACCACAAGCTCGTATAAGCTGTTTTAAATAGAATAAGTTCAAGTTCCTTATTTTATAAACAAGCTTTAATGCATAAAATAAGGTAAACATTAAATGGCCGTACCAGAAATCAAATTCAGGCTTGTCATTCAGTTACTTACCTCAAAGCTATCTGGAATCTCGTCTTTCACACCACTAATGATAAAAATTAATATATATTTTTTTAAGATATTATATATATCTATTTATATAAATAATGCTGCCCCTGTGGGGTCGGGGATTAGAATAGACCCACAGTAACACCTGCTTATCGTAAAAGGCGATTAAAAAGAGGTAGCAGGGGGCAGCAGTAACCGCTACTACCGACCATTGGCGAGTTTTGCAGCAAAACTAACGGCAATGGGAGGATTTGACGAAGGCAGTTTGGACATATTTCAAGTACTGGCTTGTCAACTGCGATGTGGAAGGAGAAGGATACCACCACATTATTATTCCAAGTCAACAGCATGAAGAGAGAAGAATGGCCAGTAACAGAGAAGAGTGGAGGGAGTATCAGTATGGAAGAATGCTGTATAACCAACCTTAAGGGTTGATTACTTAGGAAGATAAATAATGCGTTGATGGTGGTCACATGTAAAAGATTTAAAACTTAATATATTACAAACATATTCCCATTTAAAAATATTATCAATGTTGATGTCTATGTTGGCATTAAATAATAATCATACAAAATTATGAAATTTTAAGGTTTTTAAGTATTACATTTCTATTTTATAGGCATAAATATCATTGTTGCAACACCTGGACGATTGTTGGATCATTTGCAAAATTCTCCTGACTTTTTATACAAAAATCTCCAGTGTCTTATCATTGATGAAGCTGATCGTATATTGGATATTGGGTTTGAAGAAGAAATAAAACAAATAATAAATTTATTACCAAGTAAATTGCTGCTAAATAAAATAATTCTTTTTATATTTGGTAATTTCTTTTATATTTTATAGAACGAAGACAAACTATGTTATTTAGTGCAACCAAAACTCCAAAAACTGATGCCCTAACTACATTTGCATTGAAAAAAGAGCCTATTTATATAGGTGTAGATGACAGTAAAGATGAAGCAACTGTTGAAGGTTTAGAGCAAGGATATGTAGTATGTCCTTCAGAAAAACGTTTTCTTTTGTTATTCACATTCTTAAAGAAAAATAGAAATAAAAAAGTAATGGTATTCTTTAGTTCATGCCTAGCAGTGAAATATTTCCACGAATTACTCAATTATATCGACTTGCCTGTTATGTGTATACACGTGAGTATATATTTTTTTTTTAATTATGAAATAAAACATTGTGTGAACAATTCGAAATGAGAGAATTAAACATTTTAAACCTATAGTTTCTTTTGTGATGCTACTAGCCTTAACTCTGACCCACCTCTTTTCTTCAACAATTTTTTTCATGCACGTTAACATTTTTATATGTTGTTGGATTTATTTTTTGAGTTGATAGCATTTAAAGTTACAGTTGAGGATTCAAATGCAAGTGTGTTGTATTATTATGTAGGGATCCAGCGACACGGCAGTGGCGCGAAGCTAAGTAAGAAAATAGCGAGCGCTCACCGCCGTGTACACTATACACAAAGTACCACAATCCCATTAAACGCGTGTAAATTTTCCCATAAATTTTGGAATGACTTTTTGGGCAAACGGCTGGACAGTAATGAACATATGAGATATCAGTAGACTGGATCGAACAAATTAACATATTGAATGGTTGAATACTTTCTTAGTTACAAGCAAAATAGTACAACATTTCTGAGGTTTCGAGATACTTGTTTTAGTCAATAAACTATTATGATGACCGCGCGGTGCCAGGCGTTGTGTATGATGGCGAGGGGTCGGATCGGTGGAGTCCCCACTATTGTTATGTCTACAGCTACACTGTCATGCGATTGTTGTGTATTGTGCTGTACCTTGTGGTGTGTTGTCTCTGTGTTAATTTGCTAGTGCTAATACTGACAGTTAATACTATATTATTATATAATAATATAAAAAAAAACTACTGACATTCCAACAAAAACACTTAGTTAACTGTGTAAATGGAAGCTAAGTAAAAAAAGAAGTGTTTCAACATCAGCCTTAAAATATGTGATATAATATAGAAACTAAGTCAATACCATAATGTAATATATTTATTTTACACCGTTGTAAACAAATAAAATTAGTCGACATATCAAACCAGTCATGAAAAAATTCAAAATTTAGTTTATTGGCCGGAAGTTGAATTTTTTTTCCTGCTATAGTTATCCTACTATGTCCCTATTAAACGGGTGCTATATTTACTAGATAGGAAGTCAACTGATTTTATTTGTTTACAACGGTGTAAAATAAATATATTACATTATGGTATTGACTTAGTTCCAGTATTATATCACGTATTTTAAGGCTGATGTTGAAACACTTCTTTTTTTTTTCTTAGCTTCTATTTACACTGAGTTAACAAAGTGTTTTTGTTGGGATAAAACTAACATATAGTACTACCTATACCTTAATGTGCTAATAACCAGGGTTCCGTAACATAACAGAATATATTGTTATAAGCTCTATTATTTTGTTCACCAAAATCATAAATTGTGTGAACATTATAATAAATAAAATAATAATTTTTGTTGCTTTGAGAACGTTATAACAAATAAGAGTTCTATATTTATACTAAGAAAATGTAGGCTTCTATTTTAGGAGTTAGAGGGGTTAATAGGGTTTGAAAATTGATTGTTTTTGATATTATTGCTTACCATTTCTTTGGTAATTAATTTATATGTATTAACTTTTAAAACAGCATTTTTTTAAAATTAATACGTATTTAATAAGAACACTTGTAAGTATAATTCCTTACAGACAATGTATGCATAAGCTAATAAATATATAGAAAAACTTAAAAAATTCCCTCATTATGTTTTTGAAATAAAAAAATTAATAATGTTATTCATTATAACATTCTTGGAACAAAAAAACTGGTTGTCATATTATTTTACAATTAGTTAAATATAGTTATAAAATAGTTTTTAAAAATGTAAACTTTTTCGTTTATTTATTCAGATTTCTAACCGTATTAAAATGATTTAAATATATTATATATACTATCTGTAAAATGCATACATTTAATTTAAGTTATATTTAGAAATGTTTAAAAGTTAATTTGACAAAAGTTCTGCATTATTAAAGAGTAATGAAGTTTAACTGTCAAAAACTATTTTGTTAACTAACCTATTAAATTATAATTGATTGTACAAAAAGTACAATAAGTTATGTATTAAATGTTAATACATTTTATTACCTTAAGAGGACGCCATACCGGCCATTTCTAAGGAGTAAAGTATAGGCATTTTTTGGAAAATCTTAGAGTTTGAACTATAATGTATACTTATTAATACAGTTATGAGGATACTTTGTTGATTGCTATTTTTTTTTGTCAGACTATCACAGTCATGTCTATAGGATAAATTACAATTTTTTCCCCATCAAAAATGCTTTGCGGGGATTAATTTTTATCAAGCTTCATATATAGTTCATACATATTATTTATAACAAAATTATCTGTGTTCCATCATCCGTATTTTTTCGATATACCTAATACAACTAACGCTATATCATTTTTAAAAAATTCCTTTCTTTCTTAATTAATTAATTATTCATTAACTGGTTGAAATATTTAAAAAAGGGCGATGATAGAATACAGACAATGTTGTTGTCTATGTTATGTAAAAATTTAGTTTCTTAGTTTTAATTATAGCCTTTGTAAAATTAATCCGTGCAAGGCGAGTTTTTTATAGAAAATAACAGGTGTGTGACGTCCTCTTAATGTAGAACGTATTTTGATGGAACTTAATTTGTTTTTTTTTAAATAACGGAAATTTTTTTTATTTAGGGAAAGCAAAAACAAGAAAAGCGTACAACTACATTTTTTCAATTTTGTAATGCCGAAACTGGTATACTACTGTGCACAGATGTAGCAGCTCGAGGATTAGATATTCCGTTAGTTGACTGGATTGTTCAGTATGACCCACCTGATGATCCTAAAGTGTGTACATTCATTTATTTATTAAGTAAATTAGATATTAATAGATTTTCATATTTGTTATGTAATTTATTTTTTGTTTATCTAGGAATATATTCATCGTGTTGGACGTACAGCTCGTGGTGAAGGTAGTAGTGGCCACGCTTTACTTATTCTGCGACCAGAAGAGTTAGGATTTTTGCAATATCTGAAAAAAGCTAAAGTTCCATTAAACGAATTTGAATTTTCATGGAATAAAATATCAGATATTCAATTACAACTTGAAAAACTTGTAGCCAAGAATTATTTTTTACATATTTCTGCTAAAGAAGCATTTAAATCTTACGTCCGCGCGTATGATTCTCACCATCTCAAACAGATATTTGATGTTGGAACATTGGATATTGTGAAAGTAGCTCAGTCATTTGGGTTTTCTTCCCCTCCAGCGGTAGAACTTAATGCAAAAGCAGTTCGTCCAAGAAAACGACATGGTGGTGGCGGCTTAGGAAAGTTTAAAAATTTGAACAAACCCGATAACAAAAAAGTGTACAAATTTGTTCAGCCGCCAATAAAAAAAAGAAAAAATTAATAAATAATGATTTATAAAATTGTATTACAAATTATAATTGCTTTAACACTAATATTTAATTTTGATAAATCAGTTTAAACGATCTCCCCTCATTTGTATTCAAACTATATTGTTCAGTATGTCGTTAAATACTGATTTTTGTGATGATTTAATGACTATTAACTATTTTTATAAAAACCTGTGATATGACTAATAAATAGAGAGTAATAGAAGCATAGTATATAGTGAGCTCTTTATGTGCACTATTTATTGTCCCACGCTACATTTCAAAGTGATATAAAGGATCCTATCACAAGTTTTAAATGCTTTCATCTTGATAAAAGCCTATTCAATACTACATTTGTATGGTAATATTAACAAGTCATGATTTTTATAGGACATTTTGTAACTAGTAGGGCGTTTTACCCGTAATAATGTTTCTTAACTTACCTGTTATGAGGACACACACCGCCCATTTCTATGGATTAAAATATAAGGCATTTTTTTTTTGCAAAAACTTAATATAAAGGTTTAAATGTGATGCATTTAGTTCAGTAATAAGGATTCACTTTTTTGGTAGTTAATTTTTTTCCCCAATTACAGCATATCTTTGACAGTGGTTTTAAAAAAAAATGGGTCTACAACTAATATTGTAGCGGGTGATACAATCGTAAAGTATTTAGAATGTCATTTGAAAATCAAAAGTAGAATATGGTATTAAGCATAGTTTTTAATAAAAATTATTAAAGGAATTAATGTTACTATATATAATAAAATTGATCTAAAATTATTATTACATTTTTAAGAGATACTGACTAGATCATAAATCGCCCTATACTTGTTCTAAAATAGAATATAACTGAGCAGGAACTAAAAAGACTGATAATTTGTGGCTGCACCTGTACAGTTGAGAACAACACATATTAATTTGTGCGTTGGTGTACTGTCTTTTGTAACAGTACAAATACAGTTATTCTATAAAAAATATCTCTGTATGTGGGTAGTACACCTTTTATAGTATAATCATAATTATTAATATGTTATATGACTAAATGTTGGTTAATTAGCATTTAGTGGATTGACTATTGATGAATGTGAAAATAGAATGACCTCTAACCAATAGTGAACCTATGAAGCTTAAATAGTAGTATTATATTTTAAAAATGGTTAATATCGGTTCCAATAGTGATACACAAGCCCAATTAGCTAAATCAGGTTGAAATTCTTAGTTGGCAAGGAAAAAGGGTTAAATTCGCATTTATAAAATTTAATGAGTTATTTATTTTGAAATTCAACTCTTAAAAACATTTTATTTTAATAATAAAAAAAACTCGTTATAAACATTATATTATAAATCTATCGACAATAAAATTGATGTATTGTCGATAATAGACTTTTCTACACATATAGTTAGTTTAGTTTTGTCGAGTAAAAGAGATTTAAAGGCATTTTTAATTAACATCTTATTATTATTGTCTTTTATATAGTCTTCAGCTGTAATTTTCTTTGATACCAATTTGCTTATAACTTTTTCAGCGTACTTATTGTAACAGCAGACTTCTATTGCTTCGGTTTGATGTTCTCCGTACAAGAAATTCATTTTGAAATAATAGGTAATACATTTAAATAAAGTATTACAAATGCGGCATTTATAGTCTGTTTTTTGAGTGTGTTTTGAGATAATAAGTGTTGGTATAGAAACGAAAGAAGTACATTTTATGCAATAACCCATCACTAAATCAGACTCTTCAAAATATACACAAGGTTCAAAAAATATCAATCTACAATCTGAAATAGATTTATTTTTAAGAGAATGTTGTTCATTGCTAGTTTTTGTTTTGGGCAGATATTCAGTGTCGGAGTTGTCCCGAGTTTCAGGTGAAAACATTGTTTCATCAGATAGGTTGTCATGCCCGTCTGAACTTCTGGAACTATTATCTGACCCGTAGGAATTTGTTATAGCTGAATTACAGTTATTTTTGTGGGTTTGAAAGATATTTGGAGATTTTTCTTGAATTTCTTCACTTGAAAATACTTTAATAACAGATTGTTGTGATTTTTTGAATAAGTCGTGACAAGGTGATATATTTACATTATCGTCATCGGAGGAATCTAGGTCCAAAAGTTTAGTTAATTCATTAGCAGATTTAGTAGGTTTCACTGGAAATAAATAGTTGATATTTGTTTTATTATTTTGTTGTGGTACTTCTAATTGTTTATTTTTTAGTTGATGGCGATGAGGTGATGTATTTACATAGTCATCTACAAGTGATTCCATTTCAACAGATTCCTCTAGTGTTAAGTCAGTAGGAGATTTAAGATTTATTGGAGACAAGTTCATTATATTTTCTTCATAATCTGTTGATGTTGCTGCCAATTGTTTATCATTAGTTGATCGGTTACCTTTTGACGAACTAGCTTCAGGTCTTATTTCGAGAAATTTAGTACTGGAAGTATTTTCACATTCATTTATATTGCAAGAAATTCCAGAATGCTTAAAAATAATAACTGAAGAACTGTATTCAGCTTCAATTCTTAAATAAGGGGTTCTGTTTGTTATTATAGTAGGTGGATTAGTATAAATTCCATTGAATATTATTATTCTGTCATTTTCAGTAAAACCATCTAATAATGTACTTAAATATTCATTTTTGTTATTTTTTATATTTACCAAAACACCAATAATTGGCTGGCTATTTCCTCTAGAGAAAATATTTAAAAAACTTGTAAATTTCAGTGGTCTCATTAAAGTATCAAATATAACAACATCTTTTCCACTTGGACTTTTAACAATTAACTGTTTTTTAATGTCTCTAATAATGATTTCAAATGCGTTTTTGAAATCAGTAGGTCCAATTCTGGATAATTTTTTAGTTATGTCTGCATCTTTTTCAAATAAATATGTTTTCAAATTTATTGACTTTTCATACCTGAAAAAAGTTATAATAAATATTTGTATGTTATTTAATAATATTTGAGTAATTATCTACAGCTACTAATTAATAAGCAGTTTTACAAAAAAAAAAAACTTAAATTAATATCAAATTCAACATAAATAATTAACTGGCTTAATTTTTAAATATAAAAGACAGTTCACAATAAAACTTCTATTTAACAATCTGTTATAATTGAGGCAAGGGCTACAAAAACAATAGCTAATAAACGTTATTTGATGTTATTATTATTTATAATATAGTAAATTAGTATTTACAATACAACTATTTTTAATAACGCAATTACTTGTGTGTATTGCTGTTGAATGTTTTTTGAATGTCGTTTTTATTTTGGGTTGTCGCACAACTATCATTTGATTTTACTATGCTAGTCGTTGGTTTAGTATTATCCTCAAATGCTTTAAGTTGCTGCTTGAGCTCTTCATTTTCTTCTATTTCGATAATAGACTCGTAGTAACAATCATCTGTCTCATCTATCTCAATTTTAATACTAGATTTGTCAACTCTAAAAGACAAAAAATATATTAATTAAAATATGTTAAAAAATATAGTAAGACAATGGGGATGTGGTTAAATTAATCAACGTCGTAATGATTGTCATCAGTAAATTGGATGACGACTTATTTAATTTTTATAAATTATGACTGATGGGGAAAAAAATTAGGACTATGGAATACCTAACATTATATTAATCACAATATTATTGCTTATTTCTTAATAAGAAAATGTAGTTTTCATATTTTAAATACTGCATTACTTGTAGGTATTGACATCAATGTTTTTTTGAGAATCGTTTTGGATTGGTATATAACTATTATTTAATTTTACATTGTAAAATTGCTTAGTTTCTTCCTCATAGGCTTGGGAAAGTTGCTGTTTATTTTCTTCTTCTACTTTAATCATAATCTTTTTACAATACAATTATGTGTTTCAATTGTAATTCTTGGTTCTTTCTCGCACCTTAAACTATAAGTTGCCTTTTTGGACACAACAAATAATTGATAAATAATATTAATTTGTAGTTCAATTATTATTTTGCATGTTTGGTAAATATTTAAAAACTAAAAAACTAAAAATATTGTTGAAACATAAATTGAAACCAAAAATAACTAGATATAAATAGTTTTAATTTACATCATAGCTTATGCATCGTTTGAACAATATGCATTATTGAATAAAATTAAGTTATTGCAGTGGCGTAATTACGGGGGGGATTTGGGTGTCGTATCTCGCCCTTGACGTTATACATACATCACAATGGTATACATACAAAAAAAAATATTGGGGGAGGGAGAAGGTGAGTAAAATGTAAAACATGACCAACTTACGCCACTGAGTTATTGACTAAATTGGTAAAAATATATTACAGTCTAAAAATCATTTAAGGAAAAACTATAGAGCGTTACGAACAGTACATTATTATTATATTATGAATTCGTCCCTCCACCACTCCATAGCGATTGTCTATTTACAAGTATACAATATATATTGTATAAAATACGAATTGTTAGTCACATGAAAAATACTATAAAATGAATTATGGTTTTACTTGGTACTCACAATTACACAGCTACAAACAGGCCAACTGTCAGTGCTCTGTTATCTAGATGCTCAAATAACTTACAGCTACAAAATCACTAACTTTATTTAATATTATTTTTAGTAAAAACGAATAAACGTTAAAAAACTAACTTTTTAAATCAGTCTTTTATAAATCAGACTGTTGGGTAATCTTAAGCTAGAGTCGAGACTTAATATTTTATATTACAAAAGTACAAAGAGTAAAGTGTTAAGACAACAATTATTTGATAACATAATTTTTGTGCGGTCATAGGAGCGCGAGCGTGGTAGTCGGCTGTAGGTAGATGCAATGGGGGTAAATACACAGAATATATAAAATCAGAAGGGTGAACAAAAAAGTGACGACCATTTTGTAAAGACCTATTTAGTAAAATGTGTTATATCTATACACAATTGAAAATAATAATGTTTAGACATAACAATATAGTGGTGTAGACTTAAGAAGATGACCGCCGCGTTTTTGTGTGATAAGTATCTTCCCCGTGTTAATTTTTATCACTTATCAGTGTCCGGGGCCTGGTAAATATTCATTCGAATTTCGAGCGTATGATTGGACACTATGAAGACTTCTTCTAGTCTTCATGTTGGACACATTGCCCAAATCGGTGTAGATTTCCCTTAAAAAGTAACCCGTTGTACTTTTAAAAAATTCGCTTAAAATACTTAAGCCGGTTACAAATTACAAAATGAGAGACACTGGTCGCGATCACAGTTCATCCCCACCTTAGATTAGACTTTTACCCTAATATCAAGGAGGATTAATAAATATACAAATCCACCTTCCCTAATATAATTTGTTATCACATTTTATTTTATCATATTTTACTCGCGGATGCCAATCGCGATCATAGAAAAGAGATTAAATAGAAAGTGCACTCTCCGTTATCGCCATGAAATAGCGACACAAGCGCTACTGACGGTTGTCTACCTATTCATGTTCAACTATCGATATTAATTATCGATTGTTTTACTTATCGATTATCACTAAATATTCGATTTTTTGTTTATATTTTTTGTTGAAACCTAAATAATTTATTAAACACTATCAAATAATAACCATTGAAGTCACGTTTATAAAATAGTATTTATTTTCAGTGAGATACATACAATATTACAATATACTTTTGTAAAATAATATATGACAATGTATACGGTAAAACTCAGTAAAACTTATTCATTAAACAGGTTTAAAACAATTAACATTAATATTTATTTAAAACATTAAAACATAAGACATGTATATTTTGATAATAAAACATATCACATAAATATAACTCAATTGGTGATTCCAGAAAGATAATTTTTTTAAAAATGTTAGATAATTGATAAGAATTGCAGTTTAATAAATTTCAAAATAAAGTTTAAGAGTATTATTACTTGTTGAGACATATCAATTAAATTATATGAATTGGATAAAAAAGAATGCCAATAATATAACATTATATAACATCATTTTTTGCTGATTTTTCAATACAAAAAATATAAATAAATAAAATCATTTATCTCCAAATTTCGTAGAATTAATTTTGGCAAATTTAGACTTGTATTTTGTATAATATTTTATGGCAGCAATTTTTATATTATTATTTGTACTTTTGTGTTTGTCTCCTATTTTTAAAATGCAATTTATTTCTTTAACAAATGAAAAAATTAATAATTGAACAGAAGTTTTTAAGAATATATCAAATAAGTTATGCTTGGGACACAATGTAATGACTCGGAATTAATATAATTTTTAAGGATCAAAATAATTTCTTTTTTTACATTTGACTTGTCAATTACATCGGATATATGTAAATTGAATAAATGTATCAGATAACCATATAAATTTGAAGCTTTAGTTTTAGGATAATTTAAGTTACAGTTTTCATATTCAAAAGATTTTATAAATCTATGTTCACTAAGGAATTTATGAGAAGTTAATTTATAAATACATATTTTACAATTATTTAAACATGGCTTAATTTTTTTAATAATCCACCCTGTAACATATGACCTAGTATTTTTCTGTATTTCTGAAGGATAAATGTTGGATATTTGATTGGTATAAGACACAGTTCTCGTTGTATTGCTAGACGATTGATTTTGTTCTAGAAAAGTTTCCTTAGTTTCCTCCTCAGTCGGCTCATCTAACGTCAAAAATTCTTTTAGACTATCTAAAACACCATAACAATCATCCTGTTCACAGTTTGACCCTACTGAATGGCTAGTTGTTAAATTACTAATTAATAAAGATTTAAATGAAGATATGAAACTAGAACATGATGGATTATTATTTCATAAGCCATGACTTCTAATGCAGCAAAAGAAATTCTCAATTGGATCTTGATTAAAATTTCGTAACATTACAAAATTGAATCCTTTTTCTAATAAATTTTTAGTAAGATATTTTATTCCTTTAATAGTTTCGGTCCAATTTTTTATAGAAACTACTTTTTTGTTTTGCAATTGAACTTCATAGTTTCAAGTGTGCGCAATGCCTCATTCCATAAGTCCCAGTGTGCAGATGTCTTTGTTACTGCACATCTCAAAATTTTACCAGCTGGTGGGGAAACTATGCTACCATTCACGCTATCAAAAAGTTTGTCCATAAAAAGACTAAGTAGACCAGTATCTTCAGCAGATGAATCAAATTTACTGTCCTCTGCTTCTCCTAAAACAAACCAATAAAAATAAATTTTAATGTTAAGTAATAATAATACAATAAAATAAAATATAGTGTAACATACTTGACAAAGTTGCCAACATTTTCATAATGGAGCCAACTCGTTGGCTAAATATCTGAGCGGCATGGGAAACCTTCATCTTTTTCATACGATCTGCATACACATGTGCATCAGTCAATTTTGGATTTATTCTATCACCAATCACACATTAATTTTTATCCAACTCGTATAGTTGAACTATATGACCCCATTTGGCAATTCTAGTTTTGCCATCTTTGTCCCAAAATGTTAAATGTTTTGTTAACAAATTATTTCGCATACATTTTAAGAGATGCGGAGGATCATATAATGGCACAATTTCTTGACCACCCAATTCAAATCCAAAATTTCTTTTTTCTTTACCCTGTTTGGCATATTTTGCGATTGTTTCGGATTTTAAAATGTTTATAGCAGCCACGTTTGTACTTGCTTGGTCACATATAAGTGCAATTACCTTAAGTCCGGTGGACTGAACGGCTTGGACAACTTCCTTAATTACATTCACTAAATTTGTAGTTTTCATAGTGCTGTTTGTTAACATAAAAGCTACTGGTTGCTTAAACTTCTTTCGAACACCTCTGACCATAAATGTTAATGCTTTGTCAGCAAATAATGGTTTTCTTTCTTCATCACCGAGATCTTCAAACCCTATAATTTTATCATACGTTGGAATATATTGTAGACCAGCAGATAATGAAATTTCATCAAACAAAACTGTACAATATTTATCCAATGGATTTTTAATTTTTTGCACAGTTATTTTAAGTTGTTGGAAAATTTTTTTGTTTATTCCTGGTTAAAAGGAGATTTTTTTCAAAAGTTTCATTAATGAGCTTCCTGATGGGAGAGCGAATACTTTTTGTAATAACCTGTAGGCTTTACCACTCTCCTTAAACAATGATAGCGCAAACACTTTATCGTTTAATGAAAACCGCCTTCCACGAAACTTTTTGGATTGGGTTCTGATTTGGCACTCAATGAAATTGCACGTGACATCATTCAAGTTTCTTAGAGACTTCTTATGGTCTTCCATGTATTTTTCCGCCTGAAGCAAGCGGGTTTTAAAGGCAATATTTCTATGAATTAACAAAGAATTATGCTTTTTAGCTTCCTTAAGCGCATCATATAAACGAGCCTTTTTTGGTGTTAATTCAACTCTTCTTCTTACATTTATAGCTCTGAATATACTTCCTTTGTATTTATTTTTTCCTGTTGACAAATAATTAAATAATAAATTAAACTACGTTAAATATTATAATACATATTTTGTATACGTTACAGTACCAATAATTTTTGTTTTTTAATTGAATTATTCAAAATATTTACCAGTTAAATTATCTGTGCAAACTATAGGAATGACTTTTTTTGCCAGACTGATTTCTAAACTAGAGTTTTGGCTAGTGGGATCATCCAACAAAGAGGTTCCACACAATTCATCTGATGCTAAAAAAAAACATATTTAGTACCAATAATTTTTGTATTTTAATTGAAATATTCAAAATATTTACCAGTCAAATTATCTGTGCAATTTATAGGAATGACTTTTTTTGCCTGACTGATTTCTAAACTAGAGTTTTGGCTAGTGGGATCATCCAACAAAGTGGTTTCATACAATTCATCTAATGCTAAAAAAATAAATAACATAAAATTATCTTAATATAAGTAATTAATACTGTAACCAAATTTTTAATAATTCATTAAATGAAATTAGGTACTTTTATAATATGTATTTGGTTATTATTAACTATTAAGTAACCAAATAATTAAAAGTTAAAATACAATATAAAAATTTTAAATGGTATTAAATTTGTGTATTTTTAACATACCTACCATTTAATCCTTTAAATAATAAAATTAAAAATCAAAACATGTCTTCTTCTAAAGTAAACATCCATTCGGGCATTATATGGGTGAAAATAATTAAAATATATTATATCCAACAATCAATAAAATTCCCTGTCACTTCCAGGTTTTTCAATGGAGTAAGGATTCTGTTTAATTTTACTGACCAAGAACTAAGAAGTGTTCATTATTTATTATTTTTCTAGTTTTTAGCTTAAATGTTTTACTTTACCTTTTTAAAAAATATTGTTAAAAAATATAAGTTACTATGGTGACCTATATTAAGTTATTATTAGGTTAATATTGAAAGTACCAAAATATTTGGAAATGTATGTTCACAGGTATACTCATACATATTTGAAAGTATAATAGAATAATATACTAGATTAATATAAATCTGAAAATGAATAATGAAAAAAATGGATTTTTTCCTATACTACAGAAAAAAAATTGAAAATTTTGGAGATACGCCTTTTATGAATTAGACTGACGATAAGTAGGTACCTAAGAAAAATATATTGTAATATGCTACTTTACACAAAAAGTTAAAACTTTTGAGAAGTACAAATATGGGAAGCTTATTTATTCATACAGTGTTTTAAGTAGCTTAAATTCTTATTCTCCATAATTACCCACATTAGTTATTGTATATTGTAGTTTATAGCTATTTTAACTTTTAATTTTTTGGGTACTTACCAACTTATGTATAATATTATGTTACAGTTTATAATAATTACAGTCCATTATACCTACTATAGTATATATGGTATACACTAAAGTTTCAATTATAAAAGTACTTTAGATAAAAAGGGCCCGAACAAAATAATGTATTTTATTTATGTTATTAAATTGAATATAAATGATATATAAATTAACTTACCTTCCGGTAATAATAATGTCAGTACAGAATTATGCTTAAGCTGCTGTGTACCTGGGCTGTGACATGACGACTCGAAATGCAAATCACACATGACATATGAGTTATAAATCTGTTCATGTGTCATTTTCAGCAACTTTCTATTGTTTGTTCGTCTTACCCATGTAAGAAAATGAGGAGTATCATTTTTAGGGAACCTATGTTTTAATATGCCTTTCGCACTATTACAGCCGTTGACAACGCACAATGGAGACAGCATGTTAATACTTTAAATTTTAGTCAAATTTTAAAACACTATTTGTAAAAAAGTATTCGCAAATACACGTTTTGTAACTTTTATTAATTGAAAAGTGAGTAGTGACAGGTTAGATTACTTGACTAGTCATAAATGAATCGCTTTGTTTATATCTAATAATAACCAAAATATGGTTTTGTTTTTTTTATTTTGAACGACGAAAATTTTACAGTACCAACATGTTTACAATAATGTTAGTGGGTTGGTACGACTTTTGTCTACCTGGGTAACTCAGTGTCATAGATATATTTTGTTTCAAATTAGTTTTCAGCACGATGTAGAGGGAATCTTCTCTACATCGTAGTTTTCAGTTTAAGAATACTGCGTGCTTACGGTTCGTCCAGATCAAGCCTAGACTCGAACTGTACATTTTGTATAGTCCTTGAGTTTTGCTTTTGTATTAAGTACTTATGTTGCTTTTGTTTTGCTGTTGGATTGCAGCAATAGTTGTTACTAAATTTTTATTTTAGATTTTATTATATAGATTATTAACTACAATAGTGCAATAAACACATAATTATTATATTATTAAATTTGCATGCGCAATAATAAACTATCCTTTCGTATCAGTATTATCTTGTCTGTTAACATTTTTTCTTTTATAACAACGGTTCCTAAACGCTTTTGGGAACAAATTCACTTTACCGGTCACCCTTTTTTTGCCATTTTAAAGTGATTTTTTAATTCCGCCTAATTTTGACTTCAGATTCTTAATTAGCGTAAAAAATACTATAATGTTTTAAGAAAGGGTGTCCAATAAAGTGAATTTATATAGCGCTTTTTGTTCTCGCCTCTATTAAAAGAAAATTTGCCCCATAACTCTTATAAATAATATTAAAATAAAATAGGTCAACATTATTTTGTTATTTAATATTTATTCATAAAATGTTGATATTTAATAATACCCTTGAATCAATGTTAATTATTATTTGATGAAATTAATTTAGGTGAATAAATTATAAGTAATATTATGTATTTGGTGCCCTATGAAGGCATAATAAAAATTAAACAAAATTACTTTAAAAATAGATAGCAGCTTCTTTTTTAATAAACTTTTTAAAATTCAATATTATTATCAACAGTAATAAACCATTATTTCGGTTTCCATTATTTTAATTTTAATAAGGACTAAATATTTTAATACTTTATTAAGTCGAAACTAATATGTAATTATTTACTTTTAATTTTTATTTAAAATTTAAGATAAATTGAATTAAATAATTTTGAATAGCAAATTAATGGTTTTTTTATATTTTAACAATTATCCTTTACATTTTCAATTTAATGATCCAAAAATTAATTTATAGAAAATTGTAAAATTATGATTTTTAAATTTGAATTTTTTACAATGGGATTCGTGATTTATTAAATAGGTCAAATCCACTTTGACTTGGGGCTAATTTATTATAGTAAAATTGTATTTGTAAATTGATTATTATAATTCGGGAAATATTATAATTAAAACCATTATTATTATAGTTATTATGTATAGATTAATTATGATTACTAAATTAAATATAATAATTTAATATAGTTTTTTTAATTTTATATCAAATATACTTTGTACATATATGTATTTATAAGATTAGTTATTTAATTATTTCATCAATAAATATTATATATATATATATATATATAAAAATCACCAAATTACGTCTACAATATGTCGATTACATGCTGCTAATTGAAATCTAATATGATGGATGAATAATAATTGAAACTTAATTATTCTGATTAGTTTTTCGGAAATATAATATAATATTATAATGAATACCATATGAAATATTTGTTTTAAAAAAAATTGATTTATAACAATTATTTACAGTAGTTATTATTTATCGTTTTATAAACGCAAAAATATTGAAGGTAATCTATGAGGGTCTAATTGCAATAATCATGTTATATACGCTATGTATTAATATGTTAGTTGTTATTTTAATTGTTTCTTTAAGTATAGCCACAGTTGACAGTTTGTCGAATTAATCTACAGTAGAAGACTGTATTGTGAAGTGACATGGAAATCACACAATAATGAACTTTTACCACGCACACACATTCATAGCTCACTAACGCACACACTGAAAATATTGTCTATTTAAAAGTCCTTGAATATAAGATTCAAATTATATATTTATTAAGTCTAAATATTCATATGATCAAGATCATTAATGTCCAAAAATTGTAATTGTTATAATTGACGATTAAGTAATTCAGTTTCGTCTATTAGGTATGATAGGTGTTGTATGGTATTTCAATAATGATAAGAATAAAAGGTGGTATAGATGTTTAAATTATTTTAATAAATTGATTTTCTGAAATTTAAAAACTAATATTTTTATTAAAAAAATATTATAAAAATAATTTGTATAATAATTAAATAATACAAATTGTGTGATCATGGAAAAAAATAATTGTTCTATAAGAGAGGAGTTTATATTATGAAAAATTATTTTTATTCGTGTTTAAATTAATTTTAAGTTCATTGCATTTTTCTGCCATAATATAATTTAGGAATTATAGATAGTTTAGAATATTTATGTTTACTCGGAGGTAACCATATATTACGAAATCAGTCAATTGAGTTGTTTTTAATTTACTTTAATTTATTTATTCATTTAGATTAATATAATTTTTTTAAATGATTTCTAATACAATATATTAGTATTATAATTCTAAATATAGAAATAATAGAGCATTTGATGATAAAATATTTTAAGTCATATAAATATTTGGATAATCATAATACCGTCGTGGTATTCCATTTAAACGTAAAAAGTGTTGGAAAAAAATGTTAAATTAACTCCTGAAATTATTATTTAAAATTATAAATCAAATAATTGGAAATCGATGAATAAAACTTGCTAGTACAATTCCTATAAATACAATATAATGTAACTTGTAAATAACATAAAGTATAGTCACTTTTAATAATGAATTTAAACGCTAGGAAGTAGGAGAGTATCTTAAAAAATTAAAACGGAACTCTAATTACAGTGGATGAGTCATTAGTGAGTAAGTGAGACGTGGGTTAATTATTTTAGTCTACTGCTTAACTGCGATGGCCGATGACCCAGAGAATCCTTTTCAATTAACGGAGTTTAATAGAGTTAGTATTGATAGTGTAGCGCCTGCAAAGGTTGAATTACAGAAGCAAATAAATAAATTAAAAAATAATAAAGCGTCAATGGAAAACTGCTAAAAATGGAAGGAAGTGAATTGATTGAATATATCTATCTTTTAGTGGTTGAAATATGGCAAAGGTAAATTTCTTCGAACAATTTGCCACATTATACCAAATAAAATTTAAAACTTGTTTTCCTACGTTAATTTGTATTGGCTTCAATGAACAAATTGTATCAATATAATATGATATTATGTACTATCACCTAAGAAAAATATATGCCGGTGTTTCTCAAACGACCGATTCACTTGTATTGTTTAAAGTATGTATACTAATTACTAATGCACACGGAAGGCGATACAAATATCATTCAAATTTTATAATATCGTATGTAGACTTGCACTTTCACTATTTACCGTGATATAATAACGTATATATCGTACCGGCAGTTAAAGAAATACTTTCACTCAGCCTGCTGTAGTAACACTCTCCCGATCTCGGCGTCCACACCTGCTTACGTTTACCAGCATTCCGATTTGTCGTGGTCAACGCTTAGGCATAATATTTCCAAACAAGAAAAAATATAATATAATCTTTTTGCATTGCAGTTGTATCGAGTTACTGTTTTCGTTTGTCGTCGGTTCGATGGTGGTCGCCGGGCCGTTTATGTTCTATTCACTTCCAACGAGTTTTGTTAGTAATAACTAATATTTATTCATTTTTGTTTAGTTTCGTTTTTATGCATAACACGATGAAGTATGCTTTAAAAAAAACCGCCCAACTGCAGTAGGTTTTTCAGTACTCAGAAGTCGGTCGGGCGCAAAGTGATGTGCACGGCTCGTTGATCCTCTCGACCTTGGTGATGCCATAAGTGACAACGGCCGGTAGCGGTTTTTCCCATCGCCTTTAACTCTCCTCACAGCATTCATACGAATCTTTGGTCTTTCGTTCACATGCAGTCCAGCAGGCTCGACGCTGAGTTCGCAATGCGTTCGTCTTCGGATGTGTTTCAGTCGCCCACGACCATGGTAAGGACTACTATAATACATATTATTATTAATATTATCAATAATGGTTGTAGGTACACGTAAGCGATTGCAGTTTTTTTTAAAGATACACAAGAAGGAGGGGATCAAATCGTAACAAGCCCCTTAATTGCAACTAATTTTAATACTACTTATGTACGATTGTATTATTTGAATTAAATATTTTAAAATGTACACATATGTACAATCCGCCTTAAATTTATTCTTTATCACTTTTCATCTAATAAGTCAGAAAAATAAATATAACCATAAAATGTCCAAGGAGGAAGGGATTTGTACATAAAATGTATTTCAAAATATCAATGCGTAAATTGTATATTCTTTACATGTATACAACTAAATACAGAAATACTAGTATTTCTGTACTTCTATGTGGAGTATTTGGTTTAGTTCTCAATCTTGAGTCAACATATAAAATAAATTTGCTTACATTTTGGTAATCTTTCCTTAGATTTCTTTATATTATTTAAAAAAAAAATTGTAATCAACTAACGCGCAAACAAAATTACTTTTTTCTAAGCTCACACTCATTGACATTTTTATTCTAAGTTAGATTAAAGCAAGCCTCTTAAACATTAAGTTGTATAAAACTCTATTTACAAGTCACAACAAATTACACAGCATACAATAATATAATAAATTACAGTGTTCCTTTTCAAGGAATTTGTTTAGTACTCGTAGTTCCTCGTTTCCTTTTTAAAAAAGAAATTACCTCCAAATCCTAGTTCTTTTAAAATAAATGAGGAATTATCAGTTTTTTAACGTTAGATAAAACTTTTTAAACATTTAACATTCATATAGTGAAAATATTAGATAAACACAAAATATTGATTTAAGATATAAGTAATATATGAACATATTTTTCTAAATAATATGAATAAAAACATAACAATTTAAGTACATTTTTAAAAAACAAATATTAGTTTGGTGGAAATTTTAACAAAATTACATTAAACAGAAATAAATTCACCTAAAATTAAAATGCGCAACTAAATTATTTTTATCGGTGGAAATAACTTGTATTTGCCTAAATATCTAATTAAATTTATGATAGTATTATTTTAATTTGAATCACATATTCCGCTTAATGACTAATGACTTAATTTATGCCGAATAAATAGACAATTATTTTTTAATTAAATTTAACATTGCAGCAATAACTATATTCAAGAACAACACTGTGTTATTAAATAATGAACGACAATAATTTTCTAAGTTTTACAATGGTCATAAGTTGGAATGGTATTTATAAGGACTTTTTAAATTATTGTTTTTTGTACGACACATTAAAACACTCTAAGTCAATGCAATTTAATTTTCACTATGTAGAAACGAAAATTATACAACGACATAAATGGCTTTTAAAGAGTTAGCGGTTACAAATTTAATGTTTATTAGAATATTTATGGATTTATAAATTATAAAGTTTTGGTCTTCTGTACATTTAACAATTTAAAAAAAAACACTTGAAATTACAGACAGAGAAATCCATATATCTACGCATACTATGCATAAAAAATGTAAAGTCTGATAAGTGATAATATTTAATGCAAAGTAAGGTGTTTTTTTAATGACAAAAGACTAAACAGCGTATCTAAATAGAAATATCGATTGAAAATATAATAAAATAGTGTACGTATTTACATAATAGCTCTAATATTAAATATTACACCTAGATAAACATCATTTTACGACTATTTATTTAAAATTTGGGTTTTGCAGGCAATTAAAAATATTGAGCCTGTATTTGTGTTACATAAGAACAACTAATAAATGAGTAATTCATTAGTTGCTATTTACATTTCATTTTAATTAAGTACATACTACTTACAAGTTTTATATATATATATATATTAATGACTGCATAATATACTATATTATGTATATTAAATATAGCATTAAGAGGAGGAGTGGCCGAGTGGGTAAGGCGGCAGTGTGTTAGCGCTCACTGTCGTCGGTTCGACACTCGGTCACAGGCGCTCCGTTTGCTGGGCGAGCAATCGTCCGGTAAAAAGGAACCGCCATCCCCCTCTCCGGCGACGGATTGACGACCCGTCCCGGAAGCGAATTCGTCAAGAAACCATCTCATGATGGCAGCGTTGGGCCTTCATGGCCCGTTAAGCTACATGATGATGATGAAATATAGCATAGGCTACAGTTATAAACACATATTATTATAATAATCATTTAATTCGATTATTTGACTTTTTTCTCGAAAAATAAAAGTTAAATACTATAAAGATTATAAATAATTATTGGATAAAAGTAGATTCTACAGTCTTAGATCCGCCAAATTTTTCGACCACTAGTACAAAAAACTATCCCCCAAAAGACAGTAACACCCATTAAAAGTTTTACAGAAAAGTGCTATGAATTTTTTAATTGACTGTATGTAATAGTATAATAACTCTAGTGCTGTATAGCTTTAGAGTAATATTCTTTAATACCACTAACAAATTTAGGACTCTGCGACTATTTTTAGAAAGTTCTAGCGTGCTGTTAAATATTAAATGGTTAAAAAATGTCAAATTTTAGGGTGTTATTATTGAATTTGATTAGGAAGTGGATTAAAAAAAAATGTTTATAAAATATCTTTGGTCTATGATTTGTAACCTTGGTTATATGACGAAATTGGCCCGGCTGATGAAAAGTTGTAGCGTATTCATGCACAATAATAAATAACATCATTGTAAACATAAATCGTAAAATGCTGACGCGCACGTTTAAAATAAAAAAGAAAGTTATTTAGTCGTTTAAACGTTGTGGAGAATATACAGGTAAGAAAAAAATGTAGTTACCAATAACCATGCTATGATACTTCATTAACATTATTATTAATTACAATTTTAACATAACTGTGTAGGTTATAGTCTTATAATATATTTTTATAGGTTCATTATTATGATTTATGACTAATATACATAAAAAGAAAACAACAAAATAGTCCATTAGCGCCATCAACATAAACAAATATGTGGAAACCTAAATTCATAGGTAGACAACACTAATTATATTAATGTGCATATTTTTTATTATGTACATTCAAATACTAAACGAGTTGCATTCTGTGTACGCGTGCGAGTATATACATAAGTGTTATTTTTTAAACAATGTTAGGAATAATATTTTGTTGTTCTATTTATTTCTTATTTAAAATTAAACTGTATACATTTTTTAAAATTATCGTAGGCAAGGTGATTGTCGTATCAAATAGGTTAAATAGTAAATACTCTACGCTTTAGTAATAATAACAGTAAGTATCGCTAGGGATTGTCTTATTCCACTAAATATTTTTAAAAAATAGGATGATGATTCAGAATGACTTCCAATACGTAATGATACATTACGGCTTACGTCTGGTGATACATAGGTTTTTTTTTATAACATAATATGGCGTCTTGACCGGGAGTACGCCCTATTACATATTAAGACCTAGTTCGGTCGCCGAATGGGGCGCAGGATATTTCTGCCATGCATAGCGGGGAGGTATTGCAAATTGCAATCACTAGACAACCGCCGCGCCGCCTTAATCTATACGGCCACTACGTCTCAACACACGTAGGTATTGCCCTACGATTCTCTCGCACACAACAACCTAAAAATTTACTACAGTCAAAGTGTAATTTTACTTTATTTTTTTGGTTTCCTAAATACAAAAAAAAGTTTGAATACAGATTTTTTAGAAAATCGTATATGTATTATGCTGTAGCCCCATTCTAGATTTTTCTTCGGTCTAATTTCAGACCCAAAACCCTAAAACTTCACCTAAAAATGCAAAATTAATAAAAAGTTTACACCCTTTACACCCTAAGTTTACACCCGTTCTAGGGGAAAGGGCTTATGATATTTGTTTGGTTTGTCAACATTTATCGGTAGTACTATGTCTTAAGAATGTTCTATACAAATTTGGAACTAATTGGACTATTTTTAAAAAAGTTATGGAGCGCAGACATTTTTAAGTTTAAAAATATGTAAATTTTGTTGGTGTTTTTCTACTTTTGAAAGGACTAAACTTTTTAAATTTTTGGTCACATAAACTACCGTCCAGGTTCGATTTCTGGTCTGTAGAGTTGCTACACGAAGAAATCTTTTCAACGGCTTAAAAGATATTGTGGGTCCAGACACAAAAAAATAAAAACATCATTGTAAAAACAATATCTCCTCATCTACACTACTTTTGATGATTAGTTCCGTGAGCTCAATTGAAATAACCACGAGGTAAAAATGATAAACATAAATAGTATGTAAATTAATGAATATTTTTGTTAAAATGGCACTTGTGTCTTTTTAACAAAAATTAAAAATGTTATATCTCTGCTATAATCATTAGCACATGTGCCGTTTTAACACACATGATGGACCTGTACACAAAGTACAGAAAACCAAAATAAAACGATTTTAACAAAAAATGTGACATATGCCCTTTTAACAAAAAGCGATTCAATGGCACTTCAGCCAATAATTATGAATTACCTTAAATGTCCCGTGTAGCAGATAATGTGTTCAACGGGCTGAATTTTTATTATTTTTTTATTAGGAAAACCACAATAAGTCATTGTGGTGAGGTTAACATAAAGCATTGATTTACATGAAAAGAAGCCATCCAGCAACGATATTTTTTTGATAATTACCTGGCGTGGATGTCGATCATGATCATCGGACAGAATAACTAGAAAAATAAATAGGTCACATTTATTTTAAGAGGGCACAATACGGCTTTTTTGCTTGTAAATTGAAAAAAACGTACCTCACCTCGACAGATGTACGTTGTTCTGGGAGAGCTGGCCGGGTATTTTTAACACCAGTTTTTATACTGCACTAGTTTTTACTGTTTTAATTTTGAACTATGCATGGATTTAAGCCTTAAAATCATTCACGGAAATCTAGGGCGGGCGCTATAATAATTTTTAAAATCTAGATTGTTATCTAGACTTTATCTAATATAAATCTAAATTTATATTATATAACTTTGCATTCAAATA